GTTCGACAAACAAGCGCCGTGACTTTGCAGCGTTTGGTAGACCACCCCTTTCTTTCACCGATGTGGGAAGACATTCTGTCGATTTGTTTGGCTGTCGGTGTGAATTGAACCAGGTAGTGTGGCAACATGACTGCAAGTACTGTAATGTTGATGAGCCACCCAAATACGTCAAGTGTCTGTCCAGGCGGGGAAATCGCGTCCACAATTGTATCGACTGTCGCTATGAACTGACCGTAGCCCACGTATCCCAGCTCCATCACAGATGAATACAATAGTGTGATGAAGATAGTTGCAACCACCACCGTTTTGGGGAAGTTCTCGGGCTTGGTCATATGATAGCAAATAGTGGGTGACGCAGCGGTGAAACTGTAGACATAGAAGTATGAGGCTAAGGCCGCTATAAACTCCAAAGCATCACTGGGCACGACAGCAAGGCCTTCAGAGATACCATCAGTAACCATTCTGTCAGCCGATGCAACAATTATAACGATCACCATCGCAGAAGCAGATGTGACACCAAAGACTGCAATGAAGCCAACATCTTTAACTTCCTTTATCCACGAGAAAGGGATACCCACAAGTGTCCACAGAGCAATCCAGGCTTGCCTATTGAGGACTCGTGTCATAGCCTCCGTAGTATTCCCCATCAAAATAAGCATCGCGACACACACGGAAATGAGCAGGACATGCACAATGATTCCGCTGTAGATCGAGCCGCTGACACCAAAGGTAGATCGAACTGCATGCTCGTAAGACCTAGCCACTCGATCTTCACCCTGGGCGGTGAGGAAAAGAGTACGCCATAGAATAATGTTATTGTAGAGATTGACGAGTGCGGCGAAAATGAGACCAAGCAAGGCGGCGAGCCAACCAGCGAAAGCTGCTGTACGCGGTAGTGCTAGGATCCCAACTCCGACACAGCCCATGACGATCATACTAACAGCTCTCATCCACCCTAGACCTTTGGGCGAGTTTGTTACATCAATAACTGTTTTGGGACTATCTGCCATATGATAATGGGTACA